ACCCCCCCCCCCCCCCGCCAAAAAAGGAGAAAAGAAAGCACCTTCTACTTATTAAAGCCCCCAGCCCTAGTCCCTAACCCCCCCCTCCGCCCCCAAAAAAAAGCCATCTTCTACTCATTAAAGCCCCTAAACCCTAGACCCTAANNCTAGACCCTAAACCCTAAATCCCAAGTCCGGCCCCCACCTCCGGCCGCTCGAGACTCTTGGCAAGAGCCTCGCTGCCGGCCAGCGTCTCCCTGACAGAGGGGGTCGGGGTTACCGAGGGTAATAGGGTGCAGGGGGCAGGGTTTAGGGGTTTAGGGGTTTAGGGGTTTAGGGTTTAGGGTCTAGGGTGCAGGGTTTAGGATAAAGGGTACAGGGTTTAGAGGAGCGGGGTTCTATAAACACCTCTTTCTTAGATGTTGCTTGAGGGTTTGGGAGGTGCTAGTGTCAGGGCTTTTGGGGGATCAGCCGTTTTTTATTGGGGGGGTTTGGGGAACTTGCAGGATTGGGGGATTCAAGGCCAGATGAAGTATCTCATGTTCAGGTTTAGGGGCCCCCAAGCCCTAGCCCCTTTTAATAAGGATCCTGCTATTTGGGGTACTATATTAGGGTCCCCTATTTTCGGAAACACCCATATGAAACGGTCTCCAAACTGCAAAGGATCCGAAGGGCTTAAGGTGTTGAGCAGGGTTTGGGTCGCTGCGACGAGAGCATTAGGGAGGCTCCTCAATCATAATGTAGGGCCTTGGTAATCAGAATGGGGTTTTGCGGCTTCTTTACTATAAACATAGTATAATATACCCCCAAACTATTCCAATTTTTTGAGGCCTTAAATATTGGGTCTTCACCAAAATATCACCCGCCTGGACCAGGACGATGCCGATGGCGCTGCGAGCATCACCACCCGTCGGAAAAGGCTCGGGGGCTATCGATTTCGACTGGCTATAGGCCCTGCGCCCAAACCCTAAACCCCCAAACCCCAAACCCAGCCAAAAGCTTTGAGGGCTTGGGGCTCGGGGTTCGAAGTGTTGTAGGGCTCCAAAAGCAGAATGCCCTGCGGTGAAGGGCTTCAGACTTGTCTGTGCGGGCTACCCACCCGTGAAGGTTGAGTTTTGTTGAGGTGTGCTGGTGGGGAAGCCCAAACTGCCGTGAACTTGGTCCCAACAAGGCCTTTGTAATTACGGCCCTGATTGCTCTAAGCGCTGGGAAATCCCTTGAAACCCCACCCTCGGCAGTGCAGGTCCGGATCCCCCTTGATTAAAAAACACCTGCCAACGGGGTCGGACATCTTTGTAAGGTGCCCGAACTGAAGTTTGCATACCGTTTCATCCGTTTTTCAGGTCTCAGCTCTGAGCCTGGTATCCTGAAGCCCCGCACACACAGAGCCCTAGACTCTGGGTGTAGGAGCCTCAATGACTAAACTAGGCGTGGGGAACACTATAGTACATGTCTGCAGGGATGTAGCTACGAGTTCCTCAGACCCCTGTATCACACTGTCTTCATTCTGCGGTGCTTCACGATGTTCTTGGGACCTTCCAGCTTCAAGCACTGCAACCAAAGCACGGCACTACTTGGCTTAAAGGGTCCTCTGCTTCAGGATTTCGGTGTTTTTCTTCCTTTGAAGAATGGATGGAGATTGATTATCGAAAGGGGGTTTTGGGGGGTATAGGCATATTACAAAGGAAGGCACCACGGAATGGATTCGGTAGTTATTTCGGCCCCTACTTTAAGTACCGAGCTATCTGGGAGGATTTCTTTTCAGGATCCTGTGGCCTTCGTGCAAACTTTACAAAATGTACGGATTTGGGACTTCTCCTGCTCTTCCGCAACTGGGGATCATTTTTCCTGCAAGACGTCTGTCAGCAGCTGTTGATGAAATCGCAAGCTTTGCCGCAGCTTGTATGCCGTTTCCTGGCCCGCGAGCTGAGGAGGCCATGGAATGAACCGATAGCCAAGAAGCCTAAACTCAAGACCCTACAGCTACCACCTGCCAATTTCAAGAAATTCAGAGGCCCCATTCTCCACTGGCCCCCAACATTAAGCTCGTGCACACGCTGAACTCTGAAAGCACTGCAGGCATGCTGGGTCTGATTCCGCAAGCGGTGGCTATCCGCGTGAGTGCCAACAAAAAGTTCAAAACGCTTCTTCGGCTTCGGTTGGTACCGCACCTTCAAAGCACATAGCTTAGCCAGTAGAACTTCTTTCCTCCAGATCACAACGCTTGCGCCGAGGCAAATCCTACACACCTTCAGTGCCAACGAGACAGGCAAGACTTCTCAATGCTACAGCTCGACCACACGACCCCACCCTTGCTAGAAACGCAAGAAGAAAGGATGGCGCGAAACCTGGCCAACAAAGCACATTGCTGCACCTGCAAATGCACAAGAAACCATATAAATCCTGAAGCCATAACTTGCCCCTAAACCCTAAGCCCGAGAATATAGGGGCCTAAATAATTAGAATAGGTTTGGGGTATATTATACTATAACTATAAGAAGGAACCACCAAAACCCTATTCCAACCATGATTAAGGCCCCTACATGAAACCCTCAACCCTCCCAGGTGCCTGGCGGAGCCGACTGCAAAGCGCCCCCGGGTCCAAGACTTTGAGCAGCGTGTTCAGGTCCGCCAAGTTGCCTCGGATTGCTGGGCTTTGAGGTTTCGGGGCCGGGCTGTTTGAAATACATCTGAAGCCCTAAATCCTAAACCCTAAGCCTTGAAGACCCTAAAACCATAAACCCCTATGAGCACCAAATAAGTACCCGTCGCGGGGCGAAGCCCTCACTGCCTTGGGGTTTAGGGGTGATAAGTAAGGTTTAGGATTTTAGGATTTGGGGTTTTAGGGCTTGGGGAGCTTGGAGGCAGAGCGTCCGGGTTAGTGCTTCGGGTTCGCAAGTTTTTCTTGTCGCGTCTTCTTGCTTAGAAAACAGTAACAAGGGAAGTTGCAGATTGGCTTGCCGATGCACCCGAACCCTAAACCCTAAGACCTAAACCGTGGGGGTTATCAGTTTCGTGCTTTCGGGTCCCAAGCTCTGCGCGCTTTCAGGCCCCAAAGGTTTTGCGGACACATCAACAAGTAAATCGTCATGTCACTGGTCAGCGCCTCAGGCACTTTTCAGCTTTGCCTGTGCAAAACACGGCTGGCACGACTCTTGAGAGACGTTGTATTCCAGCAGCCTCTCGGCGAAGAGCTCCTGACTGGGCGGACGGATCTCTGGATGGCTCTGGGCCTAGGGTAGAAGGTGTTTCGAGTTTCGGGCTTCGGACTTTAGGGTTTGGGCTTAGGTATGTGTTGAACTGAAGAGAACGTCCGGAGTCGCTGTTGGCGAGTATATATAGGACACCTGGATGTAACTCTCTAGCATCCTCTAACCATCAAACTACCATCTTGTCCCTCAGAGATGTTCGAGCTTGGCCAGCTTTGCTCCTTCGCCCCGTTGTAGAGGAGTCGGTCAACCGGGTCATCATAGCCGTCGAGCAGCGAGGTGTTGTACTCGTGGTTCGTCGTATCTCCGGAAAATGTAGGCCTGCTGTCCATGAAATCCGAGGCGAGGCAGTCACCTCCGAAGATACGGTGCAGGAGGCAGATGGAGAGGTCCCATTCCTCTCAACGGACTGATGAACTTCTGCTGTGAAGCATAAGACCCACTGTACTTCTTTATGGCCTACCGCCAGCTACAGCTTTCAAAAAGGCTCTAAGAACCCAGACAACTCTCCTCCACCAGCCCGACAAAGGCGAATCCTTCACGAATCCTGGTCACTGCTTCTTCCGCATCCGTTTCGTTCAAGTCTCTGCACCATGAAGGAGTAGGATCAATGATCCCATCTCGCATGATCTGGCAGGTCACAGCGTGTGCCTCTGAATGTGCGTAGGTAACAATGTCTTTGGAATCCGCCCCATGTGACCATTCTTGGTCGGAGTAAGCAGAAAAAATGCGCTGGATCGGATCGCGCATCATGGTCACAAGATGACCTCTCAAGCGCTCAAGGAACTACATGCATGCACAACACACACACACACAAACACAAATAAATAGGCACACACAAGTGCAGATGCAGAAACGGCAAGAATAACAGATGTATCGGATACATTTTTGCATTGCGTCACATGCCATAGCAAACATACGTATATCTGTGTGCGTCTATTCATGCGTGTATAGGTATGTGTGTAATATCTATATATATATATGTGTATGTATATGTACA